TGAGAAACAACATGGACGGGGGCGAGGGGGAGGCATGTTCCAACGAGATTTGTCCAGGATTGTAGGCCTACAGGGCTTCTTTTTTTTTAGTAAAATAGGCCAAACAGAAATTAGAAGTAAAACCCTATGGAAGGTTCTTGGACCCTGCTATCGCCCGACCACGTCCAAATGTTAAAAAAGACGAATTAGATGATTTTTTTTAGGATCCAAGCCATATGACGATCCCGTCCAAAAACGTAAAAGAGGAAACTAACGCTCCAATTAGTAGGCCTAGAGCGACGACGAGGCTAGCCTGGGCCCAAATTCTATTGGGAATTTCCATGTTGACTGGTGTTACATTTAAGTTCATTTAGAAACTTTTATAACCACACACATACTGAAATGTAGCAGTTAAAAATTCCACTTACTCTGTGCAGGTACTTACTGACACTTGGTATAAAATAACACAAACAAAAAATGATTTCAATAGATAACGGCAATTTTATTGCATTGTAATTATAGCGTGACTCGCTTTACATGAAAAGGAAAGCAGTAAAATCGGCGTAGGTTTAAATAAAATTTCTCCTCAAACTATGAATTTGAGAAAACAATGAATAGTTATCAGAAACTCACAACTCAATACCATTTCTACGTCACCTAAAATGATAAGCATTTCCCAACCAGTTTAGGAAAAGAAACATAAATAATCGATGTGACTCGCGTTACCGTGACTCCCGTTACCTCAAGATTACCCTAGATTATGCCCACATTAGCTTGATTGTTTGTGTATACATGTAGTTACCAGTGCAACAGTGCTGTCAGGTTTGCAGTTGAGAAGACAAATACTTGCCAAGTTAACACTTATAACATTATAACGATAAAAGAATTACTTTGGAGAATTGACACTTGGTTCCCCCAAAAAACCAACATACATGTACCAGTAAATGTCATTTTGAATGAATGCCACATTACCACATATGGTTGATCAAACACGCTTCATGACAAGCAGTTGTAATGGCCACGATGGTTGACTGTGAATTTTTCAGCCTGTTCTGTTTAGCTTTTGTTAGGTTTGTTCCTTTGCCTTCTTGAGCTCACAACCTTTTCCGCTCATCTCATTCTGTTGCTTACGGTAGTCACTATGCATGTACTTCTCACTCAGTAGCACAAAGCTTTTCACATCTTTTTTGCTGTCTTTCTGCTGCTGTGAGAGTCGTACATCAATATCTGAAATGAAAGAAACAGTTCCAGTAAAATTTTGTGACATTCCTTACGGACAATTTTACAAAAATTAGAGGCTATTAATGATAACTTGCAAATTATTAAAATATTTAGTACAAACATGTATGTCCATGTAATTTTATATGTGAAGTTCATACAAAATTGATAGATTGATCAATTGTCACATTGATTCCTTGGATTATTTGGCATTAGTAAACATGTCTAATGTTGTGGGATACAAATTATCAAAGGCGACCCTGCAGGCACCTCTGCTGGGTAGTGGAAAACAGTTGGCTCTTAAATCACTTTACGTGTATGTGTGGTTTGTGAAAAACTTGCTCCTTAACCATTTTACTACAATGTCATTCAGCAATACAGGTATATGTCCATTTAAAGTGCTAGTAATATTGTCAACTATACAAGTTTTAGGCCTAGTACATGTACATGTACGACACATGAATAACACGTGAAATACAGAAAAAGAAAAATAAAGCTAAAATACCAGTGGGAGAAAAATTTACCGGTATATGATACATTATGTGTAATCTGGCTAATTACATGTACATGTATTGCAATAACTGTGGAGGTCATACTACATAGAGTTGCATACATTGATTTGTCAAAATTCTACAATTGGAGCAATTTGTGCCTCTTTTTCCCCTCATTATTTACTTTCACTTTGAGCAAAGTTTTACTTGTACATGTACTTCACTTTTCACCCCTATATGATTTTGTGAGAAAGTTACATATACATGTACTTACCTTTATTTCAGATACATGTAGATGATGACAAATGCAAATCTTTTGTTTTTCTGCCCACATGTACATGTAAATGAGGAATTTAACTAACAGGAACCGGTGTATGGAATTACTCTCTGCTGCCCTCTATTTAAGATGCCAGTAAACTTTAGAAAACAATGGGCACTGATGAAAAGATAACAAGCACTGTTACTACTGCAGTTTAAATTGTGACTCGCGTTACCCTACCGCTAAATGCTGTTACTCGGGATACATGTGACTCGCGTTTCCAACTTTCAGTGCCAGATATATTATCCTAGGCAGATAACCTAGGGTCGGTGTTGTTATAATTTGGTTTTTGCACACTGAAGGAGGAGGTTTATAATTGACAAACTAAATACCCCTGGGGTTTTGGTATACAGTTAACTGTTTGTGTATCATGTGACTCGCATTACATCATCACCACCACTTGATTCAACAGGTCTGTCCTGAAAAAGCTAGAATAGAAGGGAATGTATGTCATAAAAATAATGAATAAATGCCATCATGAAACTACAGGTGTATATCCAAATTTTAACTCAGCATATAAATTAAAATGGGGTTGTTTAGGCAGTTACAAGGAATGTGCTTTTGACATGTTTGATATGTAAAAACTAAATTAGCCTAGGCCTGCAGACTTAATGTTTAAAAGGTAAATTTAAAAGCAAGCAAAGACTACAGTAGTTGAGTTTTTCCATAGCTTTAGTCAATATGTAATTGTAAAAATACAACCAACTTAAAACCTCAGTGAAAAAAATTAAGTCTATTTTCCTTTTTACACGGAAATGTGAATTAGGCTAGGCCATACATACATGTAATAATTGCCAACCATCTAAATTCATGTAGGCCCCTAAATCATGCAAACAATTTGAGTTGTTCGGACGTTATCACTTTCTGATTGCTTGAAAACCGCTGCAAAGGAAAGGAAGTAATGTCCATGTGCGGGAAACTTACCTTTAACACGTTTAAATGACTTACACTGCTCTGGCTGTCGCTACGATCATGCTACGATGTACAATTAGCAGTAAAATACAAAAACTACCTGAACGTGGGGGCCGCCGTCGTTTCACCCTTTCTCATGTGTACCAATTGGTGGCGCTCTTACTAAATTACATGTACGTAGTACATGTAATTTTTTTTGCACACAGCTGGGCCAAAAAGTTCCGAAAAATGAAAAGATGACAGGGTGGGAACAAGAATTTTGACTATTAAGCATAACTTCACTTGTTATGCTATAAGTTTGACACCATTCCGAATGGTTTCAAACCAGTGAAACTGGATTTAACAGGAAATGGTCCGTTCCTTGTAGAAGAAAAGAATCGTATCCATGAACTGCCCACGTGAACATCAGTGGTGAAAATGAACACATGAACACAGACAAAGGCTGATTTCAGGACATTTTGTGATTACTCAGGCTGCTCCACCATGGTTCCACCAACCACTAAAATAGAAACATTTTGAGCATACAAATGTCAACCATTTGAAAATATATTCATAGGCTCAATAAATGCTCTTCGAAAATAATGTCTGCCGAGTACTGTTCGTTTCACAAACTTTGCAGGTTTTGCTATGATGTGGAATTAATACAAAAAAATAACAATTACATTAACTGTTACTTAGAAATGATCGAGTACATCCAAATATTTTAGCACTACCATTTATGTGACATTTCAAAATTCTTTGTAAGTTGTTTCAACAAAACTGCCTCTTAGCACATACCGTTCAACAGACAAGCCTAGTTTAACAATCTTGTATTGTTCAAAATTAAAAATCAATATTTCCTTTTCAAGTAACTCAATTCAGCCAATTGCCAATGAGAAAAGAACAGCGACCACCACCGTTCCAAGTTACACATCTGCTACGTGCAACTGTCTGGAACTGCTAATTGCAAAAGATTAAATTTACTGAAAATTATAAAAAAGAGACCTACAGCGGAAAAAAGCTGTAGTACTGTACTCAGTACTTGAGGAAATAGAAATACAAATTTGGGTTCACATGACAACTGGACGCTATTGCATATTTATAAATATGAAGAGTACTTCTTCCAATCATGCCTCATTACTTTTGAGGAAAGTCAAACAATATTAAATAAAAAATTATACCCATAATATAAAATTTGTTCAAAATAAAAACAACTTCCCTTATTTGGTTCAATTTATCAACATATTCCACATGGACTTCAAAATTTTTACTTTCAAATTAAGTTCATATACATGAAAAAAAATGTACAACTCTGTAAAAATTGGAAAGAAACTTTGATGTACATGACTTTTCAAATGCAAACAAATTACTTGAACTAAGAAGTAATTCAGATTTAGAAATGACACTTCTATAATGACAGATATACAAAAGCTACAAAGCAAACATTGCAGGAATAACATTTTCATTACTTCCAGCTGTGTTACAAATAGTGCCCACATTTTGGAATTTAAAGCAAAATATTAAGATATAAATGTACTTAGATGATTGTAAGATCCATGATCTCCAAAATCTATGAACAAGTTAGTTTTTCAAGGTTTGACATATCACACCTCTAGGAACAAAAGGAAGCTTATTGCCCATGTAAATACTGAATATCACTTTAAAATGAACAGGAAAATAGATGGATTCTGGAACTTTCTCTTATCTTCAGTTGAGTAGCTGACATTTCTCAGCAACATGGAATTACAGACAAAAATCAGGTTCCTTGAGAAATATTTGAACACTGAAAAACTTCTGCAGAAACAGAGGTCAAACACATGTCAGTCACAAGAAACAAGGAATGAAAAGAATACAGGTACCTCTTTCTGTAAGAATTTATTTGAGTCACTTGTGACTTTGAGAAGGATTAACCTGTGCAGACATAACAACTTCAACACCATCACAAAATCTCCATTCACCTAAAACCAGTCTGTAATCACACGTGACTAAACCAGGCATGTAACTTGGACTTTGACAAAAAGCGAGGAAATTTCAATCTTTACAACAATTTGTACAATGTACTTTGTTTTCAATTTTCAATGGACTTTGTGTGTAAAGTGAAAAATGGTGAAATCAGCTGATCTTAGGAAAAGTTGCATGCCTGTTAAACAAGTTCAAATGTAGCAAAACAACTGATTAATATTTTCCCAACATTGAATCTCAACCACCCCGTCAACACAGATGTTCAGTCTGCAAGTGTCAAAGTTCCACTGTTCTCAAACCTGGGGGTCACGGAACTCTTTTCCATCTCCTTGAAGTTTGCATGTGATCTGCATGGCAGACCGTAGTCTCTCCAATCGATTCCGGTTGAAGTGCTTGTCCCAGAATGGGACAAAACAGAAGATCTACACAAGGAGACAAATTTCAGAAATATACAAGACAAAAATTGCCGCAAACTGGCTACTCTTGACCTTAAAAATACTAATTAAGACTCCGCGAGGATCCAAATTTCAAGCTCTCCGATTTGATTTGAATAGAAAAATAGTAAACTTAAGAGAACTTTAAATAATCAGAAGAGGGCGGGGCTGAAAGCATTGCAAGTAAGGACTCACCGAATTCAAGACAAAACAAAGAGGAAACCAAGTAGGCACAAGACCACTTGAAAAAGACAAACACTGTAAAGTAAAATAGAAAAGAGAGATTTTTAGAGAAAGCTAAAAAATCGTGCCACATTTCTTGACTATCATCATGCATCTAGTACAGGCTCACAAAAGTTGGGTTCTTTTTTACATTTTTCAAAACATTACCGACAGAGAGAAAGCATAGTTTTTTAATACACTGATCAGTACAAGTTCTCTTTTGTTCTTTTATCTTGACAATTACTTCCATTTAACAAGCTTTCAAAGGTCTGGATCTTTCCAAAGTCATGTTTTTGTGTCGCTTTTAGGACCAAAATATCCAACAGAAATGAAAAAATGGTTTTATATTCAATGCTTCATTTCTTGTTTCCAAAGAAAGGGGCGACGGAAACATGGAGGGGGTGGTAGCATTACCTCAGCCTCTGTTCCTTGCTCCTGACCATGTTTGAACTCTATTTCCACAACGTCCAACCACTCGGCCCAAGTCCAGTTGAAAATCTGAACTTTAAACCTTTCCCGATCAACCTTAAGAAATGATATCAATGTAAGATCAAGTTCAGGTTAGGCACATGATACCTGAGAGAGAGAGAGAGAGGACAGGCATTGCTATGGTATGAACACAAATTGAATGCACTACCAATGAAATGAAGTTGACTGAAAAAAAGTGAAGATTACTAGATGGATGGCAAGTAAAATCTAGAGACAATAATGGTAATGATACTAATAATGGGTTATGTATTCTCAACAACATCATGAATTGACACTAAACCGCATGTGGGTGTCAGTTCATGGAAATTGCATAATAAAAAACTTCAGTTTCACGAACTAACACCTGGTAGTGTGCACATGCACACATTGAAACTGACCAGATCGACTGACTTTTGTTTTCACGAACTGACACCCCAGCTTGCTGCAGCAATACAGAGCAAAGAAAAATGCTGGGAAAGGTTTGACATGAATTTAATCCATCTGTATGCTTGTTGCATTGCACAAAAATTAATCCAAATTTGTTTTAACTAGTGGAATTAAGATCTGTATCAGTCTGTGAAAACTAAAATGCATGGAGTACGTGCGGAAGTGCCACACTGCACTGGGTGTCAGTTTGTGAAAACCAAAATAACTTGGTTCTCTAAAATGCGCACAAATGAGATCCCCTCATGCACAACTGAGTGTCATCAGTTCGTGGTGTCGGTGACAATATGATGTTCAAAGATGGTGATAAAGTAATGGTGTTAATGGTGATGGTGGTGAAGACTGACGGTGGTGATGGTGGTGAGGACTGACCATGGTGATGGTGGTGGGGACTGATGGTGGTGATGGTGGGGTAATACGGGGATGTCGTACCTTATTCACAAGAAATGTACTGTTAGCTTTTTCCACAGATTGAACCCTATCCACAGCTTTGATAATCTCTTCAACACATGCACCAGGAAGGCTCGTTGGGCAGTCCCATCTACACAAATTGAATTTTCAAGGGATGTAATATATCAGCTGATCATTACATAGGAATTTCTCAAATGCATTGAGATTATTTTCTTTTAAATTGAGATTATTTTCCTGGTCCTAATCTTTTGCAATGAAATATGCTAAAGCAGTTTCGAGAGGGTATAACCCCAATTTAAAATTCAGCAAAGCATTCTATAATTATAAACATGATGGCCTTGTTTGCACCGACCCCGAATCGAAAAAGGGACCGACTATCATCCAATGAGCTAGTTCATTATTCCAACAGCAAATGTCCAGTGCAAGGCCATTCGAGAACAGCTACATGCGTGATAGACTGTCCTTTCAGCACAGCCATATGCCGACTCAAGTGCATGATTTGTTCCCGTAAGACCTAGGCTTTATGAAATACCGAACTGGCTTATTCTTCAACATGTCCAATGCATACTTTTCTCTGTGGCTGTGAACCAGCTTCACCCCTGGTATCCACATTGCAGGCCGAATTTTGGCTTGCACAGGGCCCTGTATGGAACTCAAGAAGCACACCATGATTTCCAGTCTCGACAAATTACTTGTCGCTAACGTTACACTTGGGCCTGTCTTCCCCAATGCCAGTCATCTGACCACTTTCTGCCAATCCTGTATTAATGGGTCACAGAGATCATAAAATGAAATAAAATCATTACCAATCTTATTCACAAACACAGGAGGACATTAAGCATAAAACACAGAAAGAGTAGGCATCACTTGATGTGCTCGATCTACATGTACGCACACTGCCACTAGTCTTGTAAACATGGGTATTGTGTATTTGGAGACCCTGTTCCTACACTAGAAGGGAGACCTAGATGTACATTTTAAATTTTGGATTCAGATTACTACGAAATCCTGCTCAATAACTTTAAGGTTGATGTATGAGAGGAGATTTTGAGTGTTTGAACACATGGCATATGATGTAGTGGATTCAAATTTGCATAGCTTCAGTGTAGCTAGCTATAGCTCCCATTAATAAGGCCTATGGTATGCTGCGAGCCCAGCATACTGCAGACCACATTAATCATGTTAATGGGGCTTATACTAGCTAGCTGGTTTAACAATAAGAAAATTTCCTTGGTTGGGGGGGGGGCTGACAAGATTAACATGCCAAAAAACTGGTGGCCCCCAAATAGGCCTAGGCTAATCGGGCATGTCTGGCAGTGGCAGGCCTATATATGTAAACCTAGTACTCAACCCCACAAATAGGGCTGTAGTGGCTCTCTTTTACAATCTGTCTCTTATCTGTCGCCACCACAGCCCTACTTCAAGGCATGTCTTACACGCCTGAAATCCAAACTGCAGGATTGTCACAAACTTTGAATCCTAATATCTTCTGAAATGAGAATGACTCGACTTTTTTACTTACACCGGCGTATTCCTCAGAGTTTGGACTTATATATGAGCACCCTAAGGCTTTCCAAAACCTTATATTTCCCGATGTATGACGCCTTGAAAAAACGGGCCTGGAGTATTACATGCTGACCACGGGCGGTGCCATTTTGAAAAACGACAGCAGCACTTCTTGCGTCGGATTTCAAGGCATCTAACAGGTGCTCTGGTACACGTTGTACCATTCCAAATTGGTTCCCCGTAATACCTTGCGAGACAGACGAACAAGGACTCGGTGACAAGTTTGTCACAATCCTGCAGTTTGGATTTCAGGTATTTTAAGGCATGCCTTGAAGTAGGGCTATGGTGGCGACAGATAAGAGACAGATTGTAAAAGAGAGCCACTACAACCCTATTTGTGAGGCTAACCTAGCATTGCCTAGTAGTACTACATGTACATGTAGTAGTGCCTAGTAATATACTATAGTTAGTAGTACTAGTACTAGTAGTCAGGTAGTGCTAGTGCCAGCATGACTTTGTAGCCTAATTACTGAATATTTTCCCATCCGGCTTGATACATGTAAGAAGGGACAGTATCTATCAATGATGATCATCACATAATTGTCAATTTTAACACTTACGGTCCATCTGGTCATGACTGCACTACAAATTACAATACGCGTGCACGATACATGTACATGTACATGTACAGGACTACATGTACTGAACAGGCTTTTTACAACCTTTGGTCAAAGGTCAGTTAAACGGAAAGCTGCTTTTCTTACGGTAGCCCGTTAGTGCCAATTTGAACTATTCAAAAATAATTTTTTTGCGAAATAACGCTGATAACTTTGCGAAATAACGCAAGAGTTCTACGGACATTTGGGACACGCTCGGGTGGTTACTCTGGTTAACAAGTTTAGGATGCGTATCCACCCCGAGTTGAAGTGCGCCCCCTAGCGACAAAAGAAAGACACCCCACAGTCACTGCACAGGTTTTGGATATTTAGTACTCATTTCTTATGTTTTTCATTGTTTTCCCTCGAATTTCCGAGGGAGCCAATCAACAGCTTCGTTTGAACTTTATATTGAATTATTAATTTAAGTTCATGACGTCTCTCAACCGAGAATTGAAATTGTCTGCAGAAAAATGCCATTTTTAAGTGGCTGTAACATGCATTTAAGATAGGCCAATAGATTATTTTCATAATAACTTTACATATTACTCTTACCGCTAATGGGTCATTAGGGAGACACTCCCATAAGAACGTGCACAAATTTTTTCCAACCTTACTGTCCCATAATTAAATATTCCCTAATCTGATCTGAGCCAAACTTTTTAACGGTTTTCATTTTAGGCCCTGAACTATCATCTCTCAAAATATGGACCGTAAAATTCGGCCTCCTTCTGGTAGTTTGAAAAAAGGGAGACACTTCAGTGTCTCCCTTTTTTCAAACTACCAGAGACAATGTCTCCCTAATGCTGAAAAATTTACCACAAAATGTCTCCCAAATGATTTATAAATATAATGCTGAAAATTTACAAAAAAAATGTTTCCCAAATGACCTATTTGTAAATATTCAGCTATTCGCTGACCGCATTTACCCTATAAATTCCCAGGTTTGGGAAAAAATGGACCGAATTCGCAGTGCTAAATTTAAAGCGAGCAGGGACATCATACATTGTGACCGTACAGTGCTAAGAATTGAAAATAGCGCTCATAGCATCTTTTGAGCTGCTGCCTAGGGCTATAAGAAGGACATTTGGCGAGTGCTTAGTCGGAAAACTCGACCGTTTGCCAACTCAACTTTGGCCAACTCGACCGTTGAGACAACTCGACCGTTTGCAATTGCTAAGTCGTCTGTTAGGACAACATCCACTTGAAAGAGAAACAACTCAATTAGTGAGATCTCTACATATAATGGGATAAGGACAACCCGGACCCAGGACAACTCCACCCGGACTCTTGGGGCCGAGTTATCTCGAAACCAGTATAATTCAGACGTTTTCCCAGTTCCAGATCGCGAAAATTATTCAGTCAGATTGCAGCTAGAAAAAAATACTCAAATTCCAGTGAAATGTGTTCACCATCCACCTTGTGTGCTTGGAGATGCTACCAAATTAATATCATGTTTTAAACTTTCAACTTTGGCGTACAGGATCAACAAAACTGTCGACACTTTTCCTTGTTCTGGATCGGTTTCCGGAAAGTAACCACACGAGCGGCGTATGCGTAGAACAATTGTAAAAAGAAATCCACCTTTGAAATAATTGTAAAAGGCTTATATTTAATGACAAATTTCTTAATTTAGAGAAAATTGGTTCATTAATAAGAATTCCAATGAATTTAAAAAAAAAGAGTCTTGTATGGGTAAATTAACAACTTTTTCAGCTGCACAGCGCGAGCCATCAACGATACTACCTCGTGCCGCACAGTTGACGGACCCATTACGTCACGTACATTTCTGACATGTCTCAACAGACGACTTGTCTAAACGGTCGACTTGCTCGATCCCTTTATGCACAGATGGTCGAGTTGTTTCAACGGTCGAGTTGTCGAGTATGCCGGAGCAAGTCAACAACCGATGAGCTGTTCTTTCTCCTGGACAATCCTTAACAGGCTGAACGTCGTTTTAGGGTCTTTAAACTTACGATGATATACCATGATTTACTACCAGAAACCACAATATGTGATCATAACTCAAACCAAGAGAGAAGTAGTAGAAGCGCACGAGTTTGTGTAATGCCATACTTAGCTTTCCTCGATTGCTGTTCACGGGAAATCACCTGCACTGCTCATAATCACTCAAAAGTGCGTTCGCGCGGCTGGGTTCTGAGTACGTGCGACTTCCTGGTGATCGAGTTTATACCCCTGCTAACGGGGGAGTATACTCTTGCACCCGCGTATAATGCACACGCATTTTACCTGACTGGAGTAACGGTGCCTCAAATGTTCGTAGAACTACTGCGTTAAATTGCAATGTTATTATGTTATCTTTTCGCAATGTTATTGCATTATTACGCAACAAAAAAACATTTTTGGGGGAGTTAAAATTTTGTAAAACTATTGCGTTATTTTGCAAAGGTACTGCGTTATTTCGCAAGTTATTGCATTATTTTGCAAAGCTATTCTGTTATTTCGTTCTCTCGCAATATTACAGTGTACGTTATTTCGCAATGAAAAATATTTTTGCATAGTTCAAAATGGCGTTAACGGGCCTCCGTATTTCCTTCCCATTGCTCGTTTTACATGTACAACAAAAGGATTGGGACCACCAATCGAAGGCGTTGGACAGCTTTAACAAAATAAGTAAATGAGGGCGCTACGCAGAGCCCCAGAACAAGATAGAAAACCTGTGTCCAAACTATTGAATCGTTAAGTTGCAAGTGTCAATCAAACCAGGCACTGCCAGGCGTAAGTTTCATTAAAAATTTAATATATATAAAAAATTGAATTAATCATCAAAGATCTATCGACGATGATGTATTTTACATCTAAAATAAGATATTTTGTGTACTCTTTCTGAGCTGGGCGCTTACTAGTACTAGTAGCGGGCGGATGTCGAACCCGACAGTCACCGAGTCAGACAGTCGTTATAATTATCGGGTTAGGTGATTGATATGATTGACAGGGAGGCAGGCCTACTGACAGTACTATAGGGTTTATACCAGTATACTCTCAGTAGTAATATCAAGTTCAACTGTGGCTTCACCATTCACCGTGCCGAAAGAATGTGTCATTCCGAGAAACCACAGAAAACGACCCTTGCCCTGTGTTCATACATACATGTCATAGTTGACCAGTTGACAAACCCTGTGCATGCCAAATAATGCATGTAGCCATTGTTTGGCATGCACAAGGGGACTCTCCTCTCAGGGGGCGGCTTGGTCAGGAGGCCAGTTTGCTTGGGGGCGACTTAGCAAGGGGGCGAGTCGGTAAGGGGTGAGTCAGCCAGGGGGCGAGTTGATCTACAATCCAACTGTGGGTCCAACGTCTGCCCGGCCTCGCTCCCACATTATGATGAAGCCACTGCCCACATGTCCCAACACCACCGCCCCAAAAATCTTTGTTCACAAAATTTTCAAGAAGAATTTACAAAAATTTTTGCAAGAAAAAGACACAAATTGCAAAAATCAAAGTTCCGAATCTTCTAGCAGTTGCAAAAAGCACCATACATGTATTTATGCCTTTCATCCACACATGTACATGTACTTATCTCTGAGTAGATGGCTTTTGTATCATGTATCTGCTTATCAACCTATGACTGACCCACTCACGTCGGATTGGCTTGCACATTTATTATACATTTTACTGCAGGTCTTTTTTGTTGTGATGATCCGTATTTTCTTGCAAAAAATGAAATTTTTGTGAACAATGATTTGTGGGGGTGGTGGCATCGGGACGTGGGCTGTGGATACAAATCTGCAACTTCTATTCCCATGGCCAAAAGTGCCATTCGCCCAGTTGACGAACCCCACAGTAATGACAGTGTTAGGGTAAAAGTGCAGTTGGCCATGTTGGTATGATGCATCATGGGATACCCCTCGAACTACTGTATCCTATGGTGTTTGTTGAATTGTCAAATCATTGCCCCACACTCTCACAAATGCATGAGAGCAAGTTGCGGCATGACAATGAACCCCATTTATTATTTTCCTCTTCCATGAATGTTAAACTTCACAAACAGTTGACACAGTAGACCAACCATCGTCATGTCATCTGCCAAAAAGAAGAAGGGGTTTCACATGAAAGAGTCGGAGTTGCTCTGCAAGAATGGATGCGGTTTCTATGGAAACGTGGCTTGGCAAGGCTACTGCTCTAAGTGTTGGCGTGAAGTATGCCAGAAAGCTCGACAAGCACAGATAGAGAGCGATGCCTTACTCGCTCGCAAGTAAGTGCTTCAAAATAACCCTTTTTCTTTGCCATGGAATTAATCTGAAAACACGGTGCTCTGATGTTTTCCTGGATGTCTTATTGATATCTGTGGCCAATTGTGGACATCAGACTTTGTTATGCAAATCCAGATTGAGCAAAATAACCCTTTGAATGTTCAGATTTTCAGTTCAAGACACATTTGGACAATCCGGTTTTCATTTGTAAATCGAAACCATACCTCCTGTGGCTTGGGACTTTCTGATTTCTTACCTCAGTTATTACCAGGCTGTGCATTCCTGTAGTTACCCCCCCCCACTTGCCTGGCATATAGGTAGTGAGTCCAGTCGTCCTAAGCCATTGCTGAGACCAGCTTCTGACCAGAGTAACAAAGGCCACTGTGACCACTTTGATGGTCATGTGCAATAGAAGTAGTAGTATAAGAAATAAAATTAGAACTACCATAATTTTGCACCCCACAGTAATGATTAAATACTGAGGATTGCTTTCAATAGCTACATGTATCTTGGGCTGTTTGGGGTGAGTTCAGATGATACATTTATGTGATGCAGAGCCCAATTAATTAACCATGTACACCTTACGTGGTACTAGGAAGGTTAGAGATGTCTTGGAATGCTGGAATGAAGGATTAGCCCAGCCTTTTGTAATCCTTCTGAACTTCTATGAGGTTCAGTAGGATGAAGGTTAATACCAGCCAGTACATTTGTTAGCGATCCTACGGCTAGATATCACAAGAGTATGAGTGCAGATGGTCTTTCATGAGGTGTCTGTACCTTGTAGGGTTTTGAACATTTCCACCTGTACACGTAGGAGTGTTCATGTCAGGACCAGAGTGCTAATAGAGTCAGGCAGTTGGGCTGCAGAGATGTCCTATATTTGCCCTAGACCAAGGCCAGGTATGGTCAAAAATTGCTAATCGGTTGGCTGTTTGTGCTCTGAAGGATTGCCGACAGTGAGCGTGCTCAGTCACTCCAGTCAGCCTCGAGCAACAGCAGCGAAACGCTCACCTTTGACAAATTTGAGGAAAAGAAGAAACAGCACTCTTCAACGCGCAGCAAAGCTGTGAAGACTTTCTTTGGTAAAACTGCCAAAAGTGGAAGTAAGGGTAAGACCAGCGTTATTTTGTACACATTTTATGTTGTATGCTTGCTAAGGATTGCGCCCTCAGTGGCAGCTACTCCCTCATATGCAAGATAGCATTCTCTTTGAACTGATATAAAAACTTCTGTCTGTAAAATGTATAATGTTGTGTATTACTTTGTTGTAAAGTCGTCTTTCCAACATTCAGCCTGATCAGTTGTGAAATCCTTTCTAGCCTTTAGTGCTTTTGGGTAATTTAGTTTAACCCTATCCTTTCCATACCACACATCGCTCTATGATGCATTTGTAAAATTGTAATTCTCCAAGTATAATCAGGCATGCCACATGAAGCCACAGATTTTTGGCTGAGACTTTGGCACCGGATATTGTGACATTTCTTCATTTCTTCCTTACAGAGATGATTCAGCAGCAACCAGTCTTAGAGCGTAAGCACAGCACCGAGAGCCAAAAGGCCATGGGTGACTTCATGGAATTCTTGAAGATGCTGAACCGTCCAGCGGCCCAAGACCTCAACAAGCAGTGCCGCGTGTTTGTTGAGAAGATCCAACGACACACTCACCTGAACATAGAGGAGCAATCTGAGATGGTGCAAGACTTCTATGCTGCGATGGCAGAAAGGATGAAGACCCATGTAGCATTTAAAGGTAAACTTGCACAAGGTAAATATCAGCTTTGTTTTTCCTCTTCCGGACTTGGTCTTGCCGTCATTTTCACCTTCACCAGCTTTGAGACATCGTTTAGAGCTGCTTTTGCATTTTCCACCTAACACAGCAAGTACATCTTAATCATCAGGCGAACAGGTACTTTTATGTAAATATTCGCATTATCTCCACAGTGAAGTATGTGTAAATAATCTCCACTCAGATTTGCTGGAGCTATGAAACACAAGGAGTAAGCACATACAGAGATCAACAGGGTCAATCATGGCCACCTCCAGCACTGCAAGTACAAATGGGGACTTCGTTCTAACTCCTTTTGTTTAGTAGCTCCATGATCCAACAGAATCCATCAAGAGTAAAGCATGGAACCTTCAAAATCTAACAGATTCCAACAGGTGGACTTAGAGACCATATCTTCAGGATGTAGATGCATCAGAATTTCCATGACGTTGGGTGCTGTTGGAATCAGTAGTGTTGGAGTTAGCAGAGAGTTACTTCTCGTTAGTACAGGTTTCAACTGCTTGCTAACAAGCTGTACCATATCTAATCAAAAATCTGCCACAGCACATTTATCTTGATGAGGGTGTCATTTCCTAGCCAACTATCCTCAGCATTACTGTGGAATGTTTACTAGTTTGCCAAAGGGAATTCTTTTTCCCGCTTCCCACAGTCTTCCCTTCTGCACCGCTGGATTTTTTGCCTGGCCTGATGTGTATCGTGTACTTAGTATATGACCCCAAAGGCTTGTAAAAAAACCACAAGCATACTTGGGTGGAAATTGAACCCACAACCTCCTGCTCTAGTAAGGTCTAATAAGACCTCTGCACTAGTAAGAAGGAGGTCATGGGTTCGAGACCCCCCCCAGGACACTGTTGGTTTTCTTCACAAGCATTCTGGGCATACACAGTGTTATATACAGTATTATCATACACGTCGGGCAGGGCAAAAAATCCC